TTGCTTATGTTTCTTGCATCATGATATTCAGCAACATAGAAAAAGAAAATTGAACATTAATAAACATGTTGGAATGACAGGACTCCTTTTTTGCCCAGTCCCTACAGAGCAGTTAATACAGCCAGGCCAGAATTGGCATTTGAGATGGTCAGGATGGATGTTGTTGATCCCCCATACTAAGTTAATTCACCTGAAAAATATACATTTTTTCGGCCTAAATGGACTAGACAAAATACCTCACAGTAATCTGTGATAACAATTCATATGAATTTGAAGAACACATAATGTCTACCCTGAGAACACAAACCTTCAAGAACAATTTTTTGTAAATAATAATTTCTAGAAAGTGGCCCACAACCACAAAATGGACTTAAATGCTGTCAATGATTTTATCATGCAATGAGTTTCTTGGAAATTCTATCTTTTTACATAACTCACATAAAAAGTTTTTACGTAGAGATGTTCTGATAAGGAATAATCCTTTAGTACATTAAATCAATCTCCAATTTTAAACTTTCTAATTTTACTCATGAAGTGTCTTAAAAAGTAAATTAATTATTTATAAATAATTAATAATGTTATGTTACATTAATATATGAGCTATTAAAAAAACTTGGAAAGTTATGCAAAATTGTATCTGTATTTATAAAATTTTGCCATTTAACAAAAGGTGATTTATTGGGCTATGATGGTAGGATTTTGCCATAAACCAACAATACAAAATTAACTCTAGAAGAAATTTTTATATTATTGAATTGAATTGAATTTGCCTTATTTTACACGGCGAGACTTATATTATATTAACAAGGCAAGTTAATGAAGTCAACAGTGCTGAGAAATAAGTAACCTCTGAGGCATATGAAGAAAGTAAAATTTTTTGTGTAACTATACATTTCAAGTTTATAATGAAGAGGTTTTCACTATCCTCAATTCTAACATTCTCTGCATATTATTCTGCTGCAACATATGCTCTGTTTCGTATAACATCCTAATAATTATTAGTAGAGTAGTACCTCAATTTACAAATTTCTATGAAGTTTGTTTGGAACAAATTGAGGGATCCTACAGCTGATAAAAGCAACAAATCACAATCATTTATTTTTATTTACGACTGATCTTCGAAGATATTTATGAAAAATATTTACAGAAGGGTTTTTTCCCCAAAAGAAGAAAATAAGCTCAAGTATATCCACCAAGAATATAATTGACATGGCCAAATCTGCCATTAGCAACATTTGTGTTTCGTTTGTTTTGAAACCATTGTTTGAAAAGCTGTTTGGCAATCATCATAAGTTTTGAATTTGCTTCCATTTTGATAAAAGAAAAAAGAACTATTTTTAATTTCCCATGTCAAAAACAACAAAAACTGTCTGAAATGTTTGGGAGAAACAACACTTATTTTAGACAACTTATCTCAATGGGAAAAATCTCTTGACAAGGATAATGTTTAATACAATTAAATTTGTCGATAATGGAAAAGTTGGCTTACATATGTAACTCTATCCCAAAATTACAATTAACTCCATTTTTCATATCAAGCAGACAATTTGCTTCTCTTTTGCAACTGTGCTGCTATTTCAGCTAGATGAATTATTGTTTTTTTACAAAGGTTATTTTCAGCACAGGTTTTTAATATGCACTGCTTTGTTATTATGGAAGCTGGTCTGAAGTAACAGATACTGCCAAATAAATAAATACACAAATTTCAGCTTTGTGAAGCTGGGTGAAAAATACCACCTGACACTGGTCTGTCAGTCTGAATAATGTAGTCATTTTGGCATCAATGTTTATCTCACTTGCGCATTTCTCCAATTTTTTTTAATTACAACTTATAGTTTCAGATTCTCTTCTTCAATGCCGTGCTTCTTTCCATGTCTCTTAATTCAATCCCTGCTTTTCAACTAATCTTTTGTCACAATATCCGCATAATAATCTTCACAAGAGAAAATATGTGAACAAAAATATAAAAAATAATTCTTATGTTTGCAAATACACATTTGCAGCACATTTGATTTACATAGTGAATATCAAAATTGACAAACCAGTGGTAGCAATGTGCTACAATCAATACTAACTTAAAAATGTAAACAGAATCCAAAATAAAATGACATGGAAATTTCCACAAACAAGACCAAACCAATGGCATGTACAGGAAAAGAAATGAAAAAGAGCCAAAATTGTCATAAATGGCCAAATAATATAGAACAAAAAACCAAAATAAATAATTTGGGCAACCTCACAGGCTGCAGATTGGAAGACAAAAAAAACCCTTCAGAAATCAACAGGATGAACAGATTAACCAGAAGAGAGATGACTAAAGACGCGCACACTAAGAATCCACAATATAATATCTACACCAATCCTCATGTGCGGTTTGGATATCTGGGCAATGAAAAGTAGTGAGCAACAAAGACTAGATGCAAAGCAAATGAGATTTCTATGTCATATCGCAGGAGTAATGCTAAAGGATACGCAAAGGAGTCAAGACATCTGGAACAGGCTAACGACAAGAAATAAAAAATGGGTAGAGAAAAAGGCTATCTCACATTTTCAGAACAAAACAGGAAAGATTACGAAATAGTGTTAAAGAACAAACCAATAGGGCGAAGGGATGTGGGAAGACCACAAAAGAAATGGCTAGATCAGGAACACCTGGAGGTGTAAGCCTCCTGGTCTACTGGGAAACAGGCGACAGACCTAGCAACCTGCAGTTTATGATGATGATAATCAAAAGAAGTGGGCAACTAATTAATGAACATTTTTCACTACCACAAACTGGAAAATTAACACAATGAACAACAAAATTTAGATAATAAATCCCTCCCAGAAGGCCAGAAAAGTAATATAGTTCATGAATTTATTTTATGAAAAGTTTCTGGAACGAGTCTCTGAAAATCACTTCTGAAAAATCTATGAAGAAAACTATGCTAACATCAGACAAACTTTTATGTTCTACAAATAAAATGAAAAATGACTGGTAGAAACAAGACTAGCCCTATTTATTACTGCAACTGAGCTACACTTCATTGCGATTTTAATTGTTGTTTCTACAACTAAACAAACGTACTAAGCATTTTTTTTGTTCCTTTGAACCTTCACAACAAATTAACCAAATTTCCATAAAAATCTATGATGGCTTATTGACAATTTTTGCAGCAAATATTATCCTTGAGGGGATTATAATCATATCTGATCATTTCCTGCTGATTAGCTCAATAATATTAAATTAAAATCATTAAAAAGTGACAAAGTAGACACTGCTGTTTATAAAATCAGTTGTCAAAACAATAACCTTAACTTTGAAAACAGCAAAAGAGTTCATAAAAGGAAATATGAACAAAAAGAAATTGAATGTGAAGGAATGAAAAAGGATTGAGACACATGGAAGCAAATGTGTTTTATGATCAATAGACTTTGGATTATCAGGCAAATGTCTATTTAACTCTGTATCAAATACACATTCCAAATGACCTAATTATGTGTTTTTTTAGTGCCTCTAAAGGGACACTTCACCTTTGGAGCAAAACAACTCCTGTTACTCCTGCAAAGGGCTAAATATATTTGTTCAGTATAACTGAAATCACGAAGATTAATCTCAAACAAGTTCCTGGGTAGAATGTCTGAAGCAAGTCTGTAAAAAATAAAAATTCTGGATTGCTCTCCCTGTACTCTGCATGATATGAGAAAGACAAATAGTGTTGTCTTATTATACCAATAATTAAAATATGTACCAGACATGCATGTTGAAATAGTTGTTCTTTCTATTTGTATTTGTAAGTTAAAAAATGTCATAGCTGTTTGCCCATACATTCTGTATGTGTTCCTTTTCATATTTTAAACATTTATTTTCAATAAATGTTTGAAGTACGGAAACATTTAGATGAAAAAGTAATTTTCTCATTTCAAAAAATATATAGCTGTTATTAGCCTTTTATGAACATTAAAAGAAGATTTTAGGACATAAATATCCAAAGTCTACTCATCAACACTTATACCAAATTGGCCCTATAGACCAACCTCTGGAACATGTTTTTTTTTTACATTTTCTTTTGAAATTTACACTTGTGCTGTTTCAATTTTGCAGTCACACTGCACTACTTTTGTAACTTGCTGCTCATTTGGACTAGATAAATTTAATTGGTTGTGATTAACAGCAGCAATACATTAAATTATTCATTACAAATATGTGTCTCAACAAGAGCATAAACACCTCCACACAATTACCTAACATGGCAACAATCTAAACCATTTCTTTAGGTAACTTTTAAATGTATAGAGAAAGAAACAAAGCACATGACTACTATTGTAACTTTCACAATTTTCAGTAATTATGAGAGATTTTTTGTAGCATTATTCAAAGAAACTTTCATTATGAAGTGTTTTCAGTATATGTATATAAATTGTTTCTAATAGTTGTGGTCAGAGCATAATATATTAAAGAATTTAAAGGCAACTAAGTGGAATACATATACATGAAAAGGAGGAACTTGTGCAGTTTGGCAAATACGACTATAGTAAAGTAATTTATTTTAAGCTCATAAATCATTGATTGTGAACTTTTCATTGTTTCTGACCACACATTTAAAATGTGAACAATATGATCAAAACGTTTGCTTTCTTTTTCTGGTTCGTTTTTGAAATACTATTTTGGGGAGATCACACATTTTTTGACAATTTTGTGAAACAGACTTTTGTAATTATTAAAAATGCAGCTAAAAATGTTCATAAACTTGAAGGTATCACTAGGTACCACACATTATAACGTTTAACATACATCTGCAAAGCTATAAAACCAGCAAACTGCACAGGAGTCCTGAGAAGTATCTCTTGATCACAAAATATGTTTCAGTCCATTTGGGTAAAATAATACTCAACACTGCATTCAATTATACATAAACTTATCAATACAAGCCATGATTTTCTTGGCTAGTAAGGCGATACACTTCTCATTCTTTGGCAAAATCAACTGATCAAGGCCACTGGTCCACACATCACAGAAATCAAACTTCAAAATCAAGTTTCTGAACATATTCACGCAATTGCATTGAAATTTCATCAAACTCAACACTTTTCTCTACATGTTCAATGTATTCATCCACATTATCATGTGTTGCTGGTTTCCTTTTTCCAGGAACAGACACAATTTGAAATGCTTCGACAAATTTGTTACGCAAATTATTTAAATGCTCCTCTACAGCACACGTATTACTACGTAACAACATGTTAGCTTTCTCCATTCTTTCAATGGCAGATTTCATAGTTTCATTATGCTTCTCCAGTAATGCATTTTGTTCTTCAAATTCAGTATTCTGAGCACGTAACTGCCTGAACTCTGACTCACAAGCTCTGTTCAGATCAAGAAATTCGTCAGTGAAAATATGAATATCACCATCACAATCATTTTCTTTCTTCCCATTTTCTGCAAAGTCTTGGTTGTCTGAAAGTACTCCATTTTCTCCCATATTTTGTGATTTCCGTGCTTTCTTTTCAGCTGGCTTTTCGACTGGGGTGAGATTTGCTTGAGTCTTTTTATAGGCATTCAATTCACGAGTATATCGCTCCCTATCTTGCTGACCGGCTTCAACATATGGTTGCTTTTTGTCTTGAGGCAAATGATTCCATTCTTCTGCAAGCAATTTTGTGATATCTATGAAGGACAAAGATGGGTTTTCTCCACGAACAATCTCCCTGCGATCATTAAGATACCTCATATAACCTGAAAGTGGTTGACGTGGGGCAGATGGATCCAATTTTTTCTTCTTTTTACTTTTGGGTTTATTTAATTTGGGTTCTCCATTATCACTCGCATCTGCAAGTTTCTCTGATTTTGGTATTTCTCCTCCATTGATAACTGCAGTTGTTGACATACTGTTTTCTTGGTCTTGTGGAGAACTGACTGGAGCAGAATTTTCTGTAGAATCAGGCTGATTTGTTTCAGCAGTCACCACAGATGAAGTAGTAACACTTGTCTCTGTCACCTCCATTGATTCTTGTTTCAATGACACCACACTGGAAGTGGATGAATGTTCCATATTTTTCTGTGTAGAAAACAGCCTGAAACGAGATTAAAACGTATGAGGGTTTATCTTATACTGCAATGTTTGTCCATTTATTTAAGTTCTTAATTATATAGATGTGGGAAGATAATTAAAAATTTGCATTTGTTTACACATTTATGTTTCCCGGGTTTCCCCTTCCCGAAACTGAATACTTACAGCGAAAGCAATACGTTCCTGATCTGAGATTAAATTTCACACAAAACTAACGGGATAAGGAATATGACTTGACGTCCAGCACGAATATTCATAAGACTCGCAACAACGATGGAATCCCTGGATCCATACAATCACTACCAATAACTAACCACACCCTGTGCCTGCATCGCTCTTCATTCAATACACTGTGGAAGGCGGTAGGAGAACAGCAGAGAACACCAACACGCGACAAAGCGCAACTTAGCATTTATGAAGTGTCGGTCTAATCAGCCTTTCACGTTATTCAGTTTGCCCAACTCTAGCACGTACACTCATCCATGGCACTAAGCATAATACATAATTTGCTATACCTTTCGTATAAAATGTTGTGCATTACAAAATAGTTAACATGCACCAATATTTGCATTCATGGAAAGTGTTTATATTGTTACCGAAATGGTTTGAACAGACGGAAGTATTGAACAAGATGGTTGGCATCCCTGCAATTGTAAATTGATAGCGCAACATTCTACGGCGTCGTGTGACCAAGGACGTGTCTAGCCGTGCTCATGATAAAATTATATATATTTTTTTATTCCTTATGAGTAGGCTACCTGCAAAATTTATTTACTGTTGGATTTTTGTATTCATTTAGTTGTCAAAATACTCATCACTAAGCTGCACTAAAAACAGTAAAAATAAATACGTATTATAGACATTTAAAAAGGCACTATACATTTTCTTACCCTTATTTATGTACTTTTGTAGAAAGTTTCAGAGGTAAAAGTAATCTAGTTTCCTTCGAATGATTGCTTTCATAATTGGTCCGTACAAATTCTCAATACAATACAATACAATATACAAGAAATCCTTTGTATAATTGTTGGATAAAGCAGACAAGAAAGAGTGAATCGTAGAACCTACCTTTTTGATTTTCACTAAATGCATGCAGATACAGTATATTTTCTCACATTTAAACTAAACATAATAGAAATCATTGTACCATTGTTTTAATCACCCTCCATAACACAAATGTAACTAGTAGTGCTACAACAATACATACTGATCACACTCGTATTTCCTCGCCCATTTCTAAATTTGTAATTTTCGAAAAATCAGGATTCAATGAAAATAGACCTGCGCCATTCTTTTAAGCGCCCCTTGTTCTGTGCGTGGAAAAATTAGAAAAAAAGATTGAGCGTTTTTTCAATTTTTTTTTATATTTATAATTTGCATTAATTTCAGACAGAAATTACGCGAAAAATGCTCGTTTTTTTAGACAATTGTACATGATCTTCATTAAGCATCAGATATTTTAGAACAGATTTGATTTAATACAAAGTTGTTGTTGTTGTTGTTGTTATTATTATTATTATTGTTATTAGCACCAATTGAAATATTTTTAGATCTTTCGAAAGCTTTTGGCGTTATTGGCCATTACACCTTGCTGTCAAAATTACCTTTTTATGGAATTCGTGGTATTGCTCTAGAGCTGATAACCTCGTCCCTTAAACATCAATTTCAAAGAGTAGAAATTCCGTACTGGCACGCAAGGACATTACTTACTTATCTTTCCAATTCTTTACTAATCGAATATTAGGTCCCTCAAGGTTCGATCATCGAAAATCAGAGATTTTAATGAAAATGAGGCCTCCGCCATTGTTTAAAGCGTCCCGTACGCAATCCAAGTACAAAATTCAAACAAATAATTTGGGGATATTTTTAAGGAAAATTTGAAAATGTAATAGAGGCACATGTAAAATATGCCCAAAATTAAAATATCCGTTTGAAACTCATATGACCTGGAGTTCCATTAAATCGATTGTGAAATATCAATTTTGGTGAAAATCAACTGAACGGTTTAGGAAAATTGAATCGTTCATCTCAGAAAACCGTCAAACGCCAAAATCTAATAGACTCATTAGCCGCGAATTATTGTTTCAAGAGGATAGACACATAGTTTAGTGCTTATTTATACGAAAAATATTCGTTTATGAACTATTTTAATGTATACAAATATTTTGAAATAAGATAAATTGGGAGACTTTTTCTCAGTTTTTTAACGGAAAGTGGAATTTGGCGATTGACGGGTTTCTGAAACATACTATTCAATTGGTACTTCCGTCGGACGCCGCAATAGCGCGCCGCGTTCTGTGGCCAGACCCCAGCGCTGTAAGCCTCGTTGCGATGCAAAAGCAACGGAGACCCTACATTGAAGCAAAGCGATGCGCGACCCAGGAGTAATAAATGTAAACGCAATAAAAGATGGTAAAGAGCGTAGCCTTTGCTCTTTGATTTCAAAACGATTTCATGTATATCGATATTGCAGCAATATCATGAACAGAGGACGGATTTTAATGAAATCTTTTTTTTCTTTTCACTTGAGAAAAATGCAGTTTAGTGTAGAAATTTATGTTATATTATGACAAAAGGAAATTACCATTTTAAAATATTTTTTGCTTTTTTCGTCGATTTCGATTAATAATTCTTTTTTAGCCATTTTTAATGCATTTTACTTTCTCGCTACGGAGTGGAGAAAAATTTATGTAAAACTGCGCGAAAAAACGGCGAATTTTCGGCAAAAAAAGTCTTATTACAAGGCCCTGCTAACGTAAAAGTGTACGAATGCAGCTACTACATTTAGGAAAAAGTCTTCCAACTCGTGGTGTAGCCAGAATCCATCTTTTATGGGTCCTTGATACTGAAAAGTCGAATGACGGCAAAACGTCTGTTCGTCCATCTGTCCGTCCGTCCGTCCGTCCGTCCGTCCGCCCGTCCGCCCGTCCGTCCGTCTGTCCGTCCGTCTGTGAACAACGCTAGTGGCTAAACCGTTCAGCCAATGTTCTCCAAAACTGCTATTCCCCAATCGATCTGGCTGTTGTCGAGATCCCTTAAATTTGAAACCGATATTTTAGTTTTAGGGGGTATTTTAAATAAAGCCCCTGGGACATTAAAAAAAAAAAGACTCCATCCGTTTTGATTAATTTTCTTGTTGGATAGTGTAAAGGGCGTTTAAGAAATGGTGTAGATATTGTGTTTGTTAAAAAACCTGATTTTTCAAAACTTGAAGAAAAAAAATCAACATTTTTTCGGCGTTGTAATTTTGCGTAAAAGTAAGGGCGAGAAAATAGGTGCTGCATTAGCGCCACTAGGTTCGGTTATTTCATCGATTTTAATATGGGACGTGCTTAAAATATTATTTACGAGGTGCAACAAATGTTCTCCAGTGTACCCAGTTCTTCAGAGTACCTGTACCTGGTAGTCTATTCAATTTCTTTGCTCAGAAGTTGTAATGTCAGTCATTATGAGGATGTAATCTTGTGAGTATGTAATCCATTGTAATGTTTCTGCCTTTGGCGGTTCAGCTGATTTCATGATAACTTAAGACCAAGATTTTCTGCTAAAGAACTGTCCAAACTAGTAGTTTCAAAGCTGAGTTCACTGTAACCAATAGAAGAAGCTTTGATTACATCAGTAACATATCCGACAGCTTCAGTTGTTCATCCGAACTGGTTTTGATCATTTTACGTCATTTTTCGTTCCTTTTTTGGCATTCTAAAAACATTTAAAGAGCATTTTATTGATAATTTTTGGCTATGTTTGAGGCCATCAAAATCCGTCCCATAATCATGAATACTGACTTCATTAATAGGAAAATGTAAATTTTAAATTATATTTGTACTTGTATTAGAATAATATTTTCTATTATCTGTGAATTGTGCCTAAGCCCAGCCACTGGTGTTAAAACTGAATATCAACATTCTCAATTTCTTTCGATGTACAGAAAAAATTGCATTAAAACTGCCCATCAACAGATGAATGCAAAACGATACATACGTGGGATTTTTAAAATGTAAACATTACTCTCACAGCGTATATAGACGCCACACATCTGATGGCGCCACGTTGTTTTGACATTGATATGTCAGTTTCTCTTATTCTTCGTCTTGTCTTTTTCCAGAATGGGTAGACAGTGTATACTTTATCTCCCCAGGGCACGCAAATATTACGCACGTATAACAGATATTTATAACAAATATTACACACGTATATGATATTTCAAACAACTATGGAATCCAGATTCCTGTTTACACTGGTCTAAGTCTCCTATACTTCCTGTTGCGAAGAGTGCATGCAAAAAAGCAACGCTCACGCGAGGATTACGTATAAGTTACACTAGTGAATATAGCTCAAGGTTCACTCTGCGTGAAGTGTGAAATTTGTTTAGTTGAGGTACGTGATATTTTCGTTAGTTTTACTATAATATTATTTTCTAAATTGTCTAGAATTGTTTGCGGGGTGATGAACGTTGGTCCAAGTCAAACACAAGTCGTTTGAAAGCTTAATTTTAAGTACTGCAGGAGAGTTAAGACTTGCTGTAGGGAAGTGAAAGGAGACCATAATTCAAGAAACACCTACGTATTTGAAATGCGGTATGTACAAAATCAATACACGTTTTCTGCATTGTCTGACAGGAAAGGAAATACACATTGTGGCAATTTGTGAGAAACATGCATTTAAAATGTCTCTTAACACAGAGATGACAATATCGACAAGGGGGAAGTCGACAAGTAAATATCAAATATCCTCCTTGTATGATTTCCTATTTTTTTAGTAATGATGACATTGGTTGGTTCTTTAGACTCTTGGTGTTGTGCATTCATTGCGACATATGAGAGGAGGTAGGTGCCAACCAATGGCATCTTTAGCAGATGTCAAGTTGCATTATTTTTTATTTCTTTATTTAACGTAAAATATTTCTATTTATTTATTTATTTATTTATTTATTTATTTATTTATTTATTTATTTATTTATTTATTTAACCCGAATATTTAGA